GGGTTTTTAAAAATTTAAAAAAAAACCCTTTCCTTCTGAGAGGAAAAAAGAAAGGATTAAAAAAAAAAAAAAAAAAAAAAAAAACGTGCAAAGGATATTCAGAAACATTAAATTTATTTGCACACACTTAACATTGTTTCTACCTGACCTTGGAATTCAAATTCCTTCCCTTATCATTAGATCACATGCACATGCCTCAGCTAAATCACTGCATAATTAAAGGGGCTCAGATAAGTAATCAGCAGGTCTGAAGGGAGGTACGACCTGAACAAGTGGAGTGATAAGAAATCTCTGATATCTCACTGTTCTCTCTGCATACTAACTGTGTTTTTCATGCTTCGACGCTCGGGTGTTTTGCTTTGGTTAATAACCCCTGTCGTCTTTTGCATCAACAGCACAAGTGACACACACCAAAATAGAGAGAGGTGGAGGAATCAGTATACAGGGTGTGTCTCAGCACCAACACAATCTAATCTTAGTCCACATCTGACCTCTACTGACTAATTTATGCAACTGCAATCTTGGTCCACTCTATGGTCAGCAGAGGAGGAGGAGTCAAACAGAGCAGTAAACATTAAACCATCTGAAGCAGACGGACAGAAAGGGTCATTCTCTGAAAACATCAACACCATGAGAACAGCCATGTTGGTTCCTTAATTATGTTCAATCCAAATATCATCTATGACTAAATGAGTCATAAATTGTTAGAAATAAAGATATAACACCTTTTTCTGTAGAAATTTGAATATGGTAGCTGACTTTTCTGAGGAAAGTCTTAAAATGCCAAGGAACAGAAGCAGAATGTGAGCTGAACTGCTATTCAAGTTTGGAAAACAAGTTATATGTTAGATGAGTATGTCTGTCTAATCTGTACCATTCCAGCAGAAAAAGTGAAGAATAAATTTGAGGAAACTGATTTTGACTTTAACAAGCCACATTTTCCACTTAATGCTAACTTAAAAAAATCCCCAAAACATTCTGCTAAATCTGATACAACATCTCCATTTTGAAAAAAATTGTCAATTAGATGTTTTTACAAAGAAAGCACAATAGCTGCAGCAGAACATTAAGCATGCGTTGATCACACTACAACCCATTTGCGTTCCCTACATGTAAAGTCATCTCACCTCTTCCAGCTCCTCCTCCTCACCTGGTGACTTGGGAATGTTTTAGTAAAAATGCTTCCAAGAGCAGACTCATTCATAGAGAACTTCTGGCTTAAATTGCAAAAAAAAGAGAGAGCAAAGTTACTCCATAAAACTCCACTGATCATCCGGCATTCTTCATTGATTGATGGACCAAAGCCCACATTCGTTCTTGCCTCTTTTCTTGTTTTGCCTCCAGTCTTATCCTTTTCCAGGGGATTATTCAGCTCAGTTTCTCTGAGTCCACCTCTCTCTCCCACTCGTGTCGTTCTTTGTCATGAGGGTAATCACATGCACGCATACTCTACAACCAAGCAAGGCGGATGTCCACACAGCAGAGACAGAGGACTAGTGTTGGCCATCGCAGGCTATAAATAGGCGTCTTGAGTTCATCATTGTCTCTTCCTATGATGGTGAAGAGCCTGGAGGGCTTGGAGAGGGAGGAAGGCAGACCAAACAGCATCCTTCTCTGCCAGCTATCCCTCCTTTGGCTTCACCTCTCCTCATCGTCATTTTTGTTAGAGGGTAACTCATCATACGCTTTGATTTTACTGAATGACAAAGCAAAATGAGAAAAATAATCAATAATCCAAGAGACAGATTCTATTCCTTTGTTTTTGTTTGGAAAAAAAGGGGGGCAATGAAAAGATGAAAGGTCACATGTGTAACACTTTCAATAAGAAGAGAATGACAGTGAAAGCCTCTGTATACTGTTGTTGAATGTCACAGTGCAGAAGATCACCAGCAAAATGCCTGAAATGCTTTTCATACTGAAGAAGTTCATTTTCTTCCTCATCTGCTGCATTTGCATGTAAATTCTGATCGCTCACTTGGCAGAATTGGTTTTGTACTTACACTAGAAAAGAAAAACACATTCATTTCAACATTCCTTAATTTATTGTTAGAACCATATTATAACAAGCATATTATTATTTCAGGAATGGACTTCAGACATTGCTTTTGAGGGTTATAATCCTAAATATTTTAGCTATTGTTTGAAGTCAGCTTTTATAGACAAAAGAATAAATGTGCCATGTAAAGACTGATTCATTACCTTTATGTAGCTTACCCTGCTCCCATAATCTTTCTTTAGATTAAGTTAACATTTTATTATCATTTATTAAAAGAAGGTAGAAGTGTTCTTTGACTCATCTTGCATGCAGAGAATCATTATTTCTAGCACTGATGTTTTCCTTTATGTAATTAAATTATGAATAACTATAATAATAATGAATAAATAATAATTGTTGAGAGAAAAACATGTTTTAGGAGCTCTGAAAATCCAAGTAAAAAAAAAAAAGACACTGTTGTTGTGGACAGACAGGATATTCTATCACAATCCAACATCAAAAGGATCCAACAAAACTCATCTATCAAAAACTCTCACGAAGGCGATATTCAGGTTATTATGCTCTTCCTTTTAAAAAGCTCTATTTGAACTATCAAGGCTCCAGAAGAGTTTCCAGACTGACGCTGCTTCTCCAACTAATTACTGCAGAATAAGTGGAAACTACTAACCACTAATAAAACATGAACAGAAAAGAAAAAAACAACAAAAAGCCAAATAGAGTTTCTTCTTACAAATCCACAACAATCCTTTGTTGTGTTCACATTCTCGATGAGATAACTGCTTCCACACCATGACACAAAGCGGTCCACCACTAATATGTATTCAGGTCTTTGTCTCTCTCAGACACACAAGACAACCGCAGTCTCATTGTAGTGTTTTGGCAGATGACAGGACTCTGACTTGTACAGAAAGTTTGGGGCAGACAGAGTCAAAAGAAATGAAGGAAAACTCATCGTAAGCCCTTTCTCCTGTGGTGCTCATCTGCCGCTGTTCACCTTAAAACACACAGTAAGCCTGGCTAAACTCACTGGATAAATTACTGGACACATTTCCCTGCAGACAGACGACTAAGTGTATGAAACATCAAATTACATATGTGTGAAAGAGCAGTCACGGATGTGACTATAGTAGTTGAGATATTATATATTCTGGCTTAACATTCAGTTTCTTAATTTCATGCGGTAGGTGCACATGATTATATAGCATCAACCAGAGGATTGTTGTTTACTTGTGTTTGGTTTCATCCTGAAGCATAAAAAGTTTTCTGAACTTTGAGACTTTTGGTCAAATAAAACCACAATCTTAATCAAAGTGGTCTAATAAATTTTACTCTGAAGTTATTAAATGTTTAAATAAAGGTGGGGACTAATTGTGTTTTTCCTGTTGACACATGGTTTCTGGTTTCTGACTGTTGAAAATACAAACAATGTGAAAACCATAGGGTGTGTGTGAACATCACTCTGTAAGATGTGACACAGTTTTGAAGATACATGTCAAAAATAGGACTGAAGAACTGCATGGCTATGTATAATATTTGCTCTGACGAAGCAGGAACGAGATGAGAGAAAGAACGGGGTTTATGAAACACAGAATCCAGCTGTCAGAATCCTGGGTTAAGTGGATCCTTACAGTTTTCTGTTTCTTCCTCCCTCGCTTTATTTTAGATGTCTTCTTTAGCTGTTTATCTACTTACGTTTATATCTGTTGGTTAACCATTCTTTAGTTTATTCTTCATCACTGTTAGAGAATGTGTTTGGTTTACTTTCTTTCCTTCTCCTCTCATGCCGTCTCTCCTCACAGCTGCACCCTGTTTCCAATCAGCCACCTGTTCTTTCTCCAGTAATCAAGTTTCTTTGTATGAAGCTCCTCATTTTCTGTCACTCACTGCTAGATTCTGTTGTCTCCCTCATGGTTCTCTATATATTCTCACACCTCAAGCCCTGTTGCTTTTTTTCCTGACACATTGTAAGTCAATTTTACTTTTGCTTTTCTAATTAACACTTCCAACTCATCTCCATTGACTCTCTGCACTTGGGTCCTCCACTAAGCATGACGACAACAAATGAAAAATGGGTAGTAACTACCAACCTCATCAGTTCACCAACTACAGAACTGAAGAACAGTGTAGACCTCTGACTTTTAAAACAGCTTGTGGCTTTGCTGATTTTCTTTGAAGAATATTGACCCAACATGTCTCTCAGGAGCAGACAAGGCTGTAGTTGCTTAGTAAATTGTTTAGGCTGAACAGTTAAAATTCTCCTGTGTCCTTCATATCCATTGGATTGTGATTGTATTACAACAGCTTATGGTAATTAATTTCTGCTTTTTATACCCATGATGCCAAATACATGTTCTATCTGCTGCTGTAGCATTTTCTGGGGTTTTCAGCCTGGAATTTCAATGACAAAAAGACTCATACAAGGAGTGAAACTTCTTCTCCTACCCATCCTCCTCAAACCTCACCCAAACCTCTTTCTCCTCTTTTTTCCCTCCCTCCAGCTCTCCCTCTGTGCCTCTCTGTCCTGACTCCTCCCTTATTTTAGGCTGGTGTCCTCACAGTGTCCTCTTCTAACTAAATGTTTGTTCTCAACTCTGTTGTCTGTTAGTTCTTGCAAAAAGCTCAGACAGTGGGAGCCTTTTACTTCAGGACAGGTAAGTTTGGACATGAGCAACTATTATGGCTTTTATTTTTATCTTCATTGTTTTCTACATATGCTGGTACAGCTGCCTAAAAGTGTTTAATATGCCATGTATGTTATTTAAATTTGAGCTTAAAGCAATTAGGGGAGTTTTTGTTGCTGAAGTTAGAATGGATGTTAAAACATTTGCTCTTCATATCCATTGCCGTACATTAGTTTGTTTCGAAATTACACGGTAATTATCAGGCAACAAGAAATTAACTAAAATTTTAAATTTCTTGTTTATTTAGAGAAATATAGGGGGGGCATTGTCTATTTGACAATTCACACTCTGAGTATTTTCCAATATTTTATTATGTAATCCTCAATAAAATGACTGAAAAGAAACCCTAACCTAGAATATAGGTAGTCTGACAGCCTATCCAGGTTGTTTCCATCCTATCTGTGTCATGCTGACAGCTTCTTTGCATTTTACAATATTCTCCTGAATAGCTCTTGAGATATCCACTGCTGCCGGCAGGCTCAAGCAAAAGGGATGGAAAAGAAAGCAAACCGACACTTTTCCTTTTATAGTTATGACTGTATCAAACCCAGAGTGTTGCAGATGTTTTCTGTCTGCTGAATGACAAATCTGAGCGTCAGATATACAATGAGTGAGGAATGTACACAAGCCAGTGTTGCATGTTTGCAGAATGCCTTTTGGAGGAGGAAACAAGTGTGGCTGCTGCCAGAAAACTGTCTACTTTGCTGAGGAAGTGCAGTGTGAAGGGAAGAGCTGGCATAAATCCTGTTTTCTGTGCAGTAAGTACTTACAATTCACAAGTAATCTGTGTGCGACTTCTTTTGACTGCTTTCACACATACCAAATAACATGCAGGAATGCAAAGTATTTGGCACGAGCATCCTCAGGTTTCCATTCGGGCATCTCCAGCCTTATTTGGATCTAGAGTAAACATGACGAAGGTTTGGTCTTCCTTATACGGAGAAAAGGTTACACATCACAGATCTCATCTGAATAGGCTGACACCAGGTCTTTTCTTTTTTTTTTCTGTCACAAAAAATTGGTTCAGAAGGTTTCGACTACATTGATTATTTTTGAATAACCTTTTAGAAGATACTTTATAATTGTCTGCCAACAACTGGACGATTTAAAAAAAAACAAACATTTTTCTTCCCCTATTGATGTAAGTGGTCTGTAAAAAGAACTTGGACAGCACGACTGTGGCGGTGCATGGAGATGAAATCTACTGCAAATCGTGCTATGGCAAGAAGTATGGGCCAAAAGGCTACGGATTTGGAGGAGGAGCAGGAACGCTGAGTATGGACACAGGAGAAGGACTCGGAATCAAACCTGAAGTGTGAGCAAAATATTATTTTCTCCCACCATTTAACCTCTCAGTGTACCATAAAGTTCCACAACCAGAACAGATGACTCCAATGTCAAAAACTGAGAAGGAAAGAGGTTTACAATAATTATTGTTGTCAGTTATGAAATCTATTAAATTAACAGTTAAAGTCATCCTCCTTGAATGGATTTTTTACATGTCTGCAAGATAAACAAATGAGTTTCTCCTCATAGACAAGCTCCTCACCGACCTACAAATAATCCCAATGCCTCCAAATTCGCCCAGAAATCAGCAGGGTCAGAAGTGTGTCCACGATGTGGGAAAACAGTGTATGCAGCAGAGAAGGTTATTGGTGGAGGCAATGTAAGAAAAATCTTAAATATTACCTCAATGTTAAATTTTGAATCTAAGCAAATATGAAAGTTCGCTGCTGACTGTTCCAATTTATTTGAAACGATTTATATGTTCTTCTCCAACAGTCGTGGCATAAGGGCTGTTTTCGCTGTGCTAAGTGTGGTAAAGGCCTGGAGTCCACAACCCTTGCTGACAGGGACGGAGAGATTTACTGTAAAGGTCTGTTCACCTCTGCTGGAAGTAAAATGGTGGTTTAATTAGCCGTCAAGTGGAAAATTGCATCATCTATCATGTCCTTTTAAGTAAAGTAAAAAGAATTTTCACATTATTTTGGCAAAAACTGTTTTTATCCCAGGAAGGTGTCAACAATAGATGTGTTTTCACACCTTCGACAAATTAATTAACCCATAAATAAGGAAAACAAATCTGAGAAAGGTCAGATATTTACAAACCAAACTGCCACTTTAAGCTTTTGTAGTCCTAAAATAGTAACTGAAGAGATTTCTGGATCCCTTATAAAACCACATTGAACACATAAATAACATTTTCTATTTTCATAGAGGATGTGTAACATTTTGATTGCAAGATGGTGTAGTTGGTAACACTGTTGCCTTGCAGCAAGAAGTACCTGGGTCTTTCTGCATGCTCTCGCTTCTTCCATTGCAGGAATAATGACCTGGTCAAGCTCCTCTTTTTGTCATATCACCAACCAAATAAAATGCCAGCAATTCTGAGGATTTTCTTTTTCCAGCAGAAAGTCTAGTAACCCAGTCTCCCACTACTGAGCAGAAAGGAAGGAAACTTACTCCACATAATACAAATATTAATCATCATCCTCCTAATTTTTTGATTGCATGTCATTTCATCCCCAGGGTGCTACGCAAAGAACTTTGGCCCAAAAGGCTTCGGTTTTGGGCAGGGTGCAGGAGCGCTGGCTCATTCGCAGTGAAGCCGGAGGCCACAGCCAACGAGGGACTGACAGCTGCTGTGCTCTGATACTGCAGCTTCCTGGGTCTTTGCATCGATATCTAACCTTTCACTTTTCGCTGCAGGCAGTAGGCAGTGATTCACAAAACAAATGGCTTTTTTTTTTTTTACACGCTTACCAGGAAGGGAGGCGCACATGAGCTAAAAAAAAGCTTAAAAAGCTGGAATGTGTCTGTTGTTTTATAAGGATAATGTGTTTCACTTTAGTGGTGTGAAAATTAAAGATTACAGCTGCAATGTGAACATGAGGTGTTTTTAATTAATACTGAAAATATTAAAGTGAGTATGAATAAATGGAAATCAATGTTTATTGATTCAAGCTAGTCGGTTATGACTGAGGTGATCAAAATAAAGTCTTATACATATTGCTTTACCTTTCAGTTAGTGTAAGTATTCAAAATTATCTGCACGTTTTGACAAAAACTTATGTTTTGCAAAACAAACGTATAATTCTTTCTAATCTGACACCATTTTCTTGTGACTCATAAGAAAATGAGTCGCAGAGATCTGTGTTTGAGTTGTTGGGCATGCTTGTGGCTCTTCTGAATTTTGACCCGCGTTGCGACTGAAAACAAGTTGTTGTGGTGAACAACAAAGTCTTAGTGTTCTGCTCCAACTCTGGTTGTGCTGGAGAGTTGGCACACTGGCCGGAGTGCCAGGCAGCTGTGGTGGTGGAGGTGGGTGTCTGGGTGGAGGCAGCTGTTTGTTCTGGCACCGAGAGCCACATCAGGTTCAAACCTACACCAGAAACCCTTTCAAGAGGAACATTTTGCCTTCAGGTCGTTTTGCATATTGCTGAATGTAAAACAATTGATCAAGCAGTCTTCCACCGTTGCTGCCATCTTTGAATTGATAAAGTTTTTAAAATAAGTATAAAATTAGCTCTTCACACAACTTCTCATTCAAGGGCCACAGGAGGTGTAAACCTCCAAATCATTGCCTTTTACTTGTTTTTGTCTTTGTGACTAAAGCTGAACCAAAATGCAACAATGGCTTAGATCTGTGCAAACGCACAGAAATTAAAGCAACATAGCTTTGCTTGAGTGAAACCGAAGGAATGTCTTTAATTCTTTGAAATGTCCTAATCTGTTAGCAGCTTTTAACCTGGGTAGATGAATTATATGCAGCAGCAGCAACAGTAATGACGTTTGATCTCTTTTAGTTTAAATCTCAGAACATCAAAGAGCATGTTGCTGTTTGATCTGAGCTGATGAAGGATGAAAAATCATGTTAAAGATTCTGTCAGTCAGAATAAGGTCAGAGCACCAAGAACTAACCCCCCCAAAAACATCAACAAATGTTCAAAGCAGCCTCAGAACACAGTGTCAGCAGAGTGAGGTAAATACTGGCGTTTTAAAAATGTCATAAGCAGAAATTATGACTACATTTACCTCATTGCCATATAGCAGTGGGTTTACTACTACCAAATAATACAAATCTCTGGATTCCAATTACTGGTAGCTAAAAGTACAACAACAAGATCTCATCTTTAAGAGCCTACCTAACCCTAACCCTATCATGCCACAAAGTAATGCTGCCCAAACAGCAGCTGCCCCACTAGAGGGCTCTCCAACAGCTTCCAAATGTGCGACACTAGTATTTTTCCAAGCTCTTGTAAACTACTCTTCACTTAAACATGATTTCCTTGTTTAGCCTAACGGTCCCAAGAGGTGGCGCTTTTAGACCAGCTGACGTCTTTTAGAATCAAACAAAAGACTTTGGGTGTGTTTCTGTGTGGATTTCTTTCAGACTGTCCATATTGACTACCTTATTAAAATACAAAAGGCAAGTTTATTTGTACAGCAGCAGCCATACAAAAGTAATTCAAAGTGTTTCACAGGAAAATAAACAGACAAAAAATAAAAAGACTTACATAAACACAAGCAATGCTTCGAAACAATGATTAAATTTAAGGATGACATGATCTTTACCATTTCATTTACTTAAATTGTGACTCACCAGCAGCTCAGAAACAAATTCAGACCAAAGACCATTCAGCCAAGTCAGTCAAATATAACTTTTAGATTCCTGTCACTTCTTATGACTTGGCTAAGTTATTTGATGTGTTCTCACAGTCAATAAATTATGCTACCGTTTTCCCCAAACAAATCCAAAGAAGACAAGGACGTTTTGTCATTTATGTATTGTTATAATTTTTTTTCTTAACACATCTTCGAAAGATAGTGTTTTGTTAATATGTCTGAAATCTAAAAGTTTTATAATCAAGTGCCAACATTATGTGGGACTGCATGTTACAGACCACGAAAGAGTTTCCATCTCAGAGATAAGAGGAGCAAATGATTAAATTGTTTTCTGTTAAAAAAAAATCTGTGAATTTGTGAAAGAATTGATTTGTTCTTTTAGCTAAAGAGTCATTCACTGACATTGTTGTGAAAGTAGAACAGTGGTGTCAACACAACACAAGCCGCACAAACACTGTTATCCTGAGACCACCCACTCTAGTAGTCAGTGCACTTGCGTGTGTGTGTGTGTGTGTTTTCTATTTAAATACCCCTGTGATAAACAGGACGGGCCGGGCAGAGAAAAGCAGGAGTTGAATGTTCTAGCTCATTCTTCTCTACATCACTTTTTCCTTCTGCTCCTGTAGCATCAACACATTAAGGTAAGGAGAAAATTAACTCTTATTTTTTTCTTTATTACAATCTTATTTCAGATGAAGGTAAGAATGTGTGTCTACAGTTTGCCTTGTGCAAATATATATATATATATATATATATATATATATATATATATATATATATATATATATATATATATATATATATATGTTTATCTAGTTAGAAAACAAATTATGCAAAAAAACTATTTCAACTATGACTAATCCACCAAAAGTTATTTACTATAAATGTATCTGTATGAAATGTAACTATTGGCAACAGAATAATACAAACTTTGTTTTAGAAAGACTTGAGATCCTTAATGTTGTATTTTCTCATATCAACCATATAGTTGGCAAAATAGGTGAAGTTGAAAATCAATGTATATATTCAATTTTGCAACTACATCACAAAATATAACACAGGTCACAATAAAAAGGGAAAGTAAAAACTGGATTTATATGCATCTGTATAGTTAATATACTTTAACCTTTTTGAATAAGGCGGATCTGTTTCTAAAAATATCTATTCCCTGTTGAGCTCATCATGTTTCTACCCATCATTGATAAAGGAATCACAAAATTTTAAATGCTTCATACAATTAAAATATTCTTTTGAGTTATGCTTATGAATCCATTCCTAATTTATACTTAAATTCCTGTTGCTAATCTACCAACATCTCTTTGTGAAGTCAACGTGGCATTCCTAAACTCAAAATGGCATTCCGGGAACGAGGGGCCTGGTCTATATTTGTGTCTTTTTTTATCCAGCAGAAAAGTGGGGCTGAAAGCAGGACGTCTAATCTATGTGGAAACATTCCCACGTTGGGGGCTTTGCATGCTTCTCCCTGCCTGCCATCACCTTGCCAAGGGGAGGGGGGCATTGTGTTATCAGCACTGGAAGGCGATAGGGTGATTTTGTCCAGTCGGCCCATGAGGACCATAGAACGATGACTGAGAAAATTGAACCATTTAAATTCTATTATTTAACAAATAAGTGACTGTTCTTTCAAAAGTTAAATATCTGAAAGTAAGAAAATCGGTGTTGGTCAACAGCGCTTGATACTGTGAATTATGTCGTTCCCCATCCAGGCTGTGCATACGAGGGCTTAACCAGAACCAGACTTCATAATTAACAACAACTGGGGCTCTAGAACCAGACTGTCTCCACTTTTAAGCTCTGTTAAATAAAACAAATGTATTTTTGTCTTGTAGGTTCATTAAAATAGCCATGACGCCTGAGAAAATGTAAGTATTGCTTTCTTCTTGTATTTTAGTCACTGTATGACGGGTTTATACAGTCATAAACATAAACCTTCATATTCATAGAAATTGATTGTAAAAACTAACTTAAAATATTTTTCTGTTTTGTTCACAGGCCAGGGGTAAGGTTAAGAAAATATTATCAATTAGAAAACAAATGCAAACACTGATTTTTATAGTTAAACCAGACTAGTAAAATATTAAACTATGACATGAATCTGATATTTGCAGAGAAAATCTAAAATCTCCGCCTCTAGAAAACTCATGCTAAAGGTAAGGAGGATTTGCATAGACAGAAACTTCACTCTCTGACTCAAACAAGATTCAGAACTTTTAGTTCCTTCTTTTAATAAATAAAACATCTCTACTCTTCATAAGAGCTTGATGGTTGCAAAAGCAAAGGAGGATCTGGAGCAGGAGATGGAAGAAAAGGAGGAGCAAAAGGCAAAATACCTGGAAGAGAAAGTTCCTCCAGCACCAGTCACTGGTTTGTCACTGGAGGAGCTAAAGGTAGATATTTCTGTTCTCATTTTTGTTTACACAAATAGCAAGTTTTGTAGGAATAAATACACATTTTTTGTCTGTGTAGGCATTATGTGAAGACCTGCATTCCAAAATAGATGTGGTGGATGAAGAACGGTATGATATTGAAGCCAAAGTCTTGCACAACAACAGAGAGGTACGGCTGATGCACCATACAGTAAACATCATACATACCTATGCAAAGTTACTTTAAAGGCTTGTTCAAAATGCCATAATATTTATCCATACAGATTAAAGATCTGAACATCAAAGTGCTGGACTTGCGAGGGAAATTCAAAAGGCCCAATCTGAGACGGGTCCGGGTCTCCGCTGATGCCATTCTGCGTTCCCTACTGGGCTCCAAGCACAAGGTGTCCATGGATCTGAGAGCCAACCTCAAATCTGTGAAGAAGGAGGACACAGAAAAGGTACATTTTTACTGAAATATAAGAGAGTTTACACAGAAAGCAGTGCAAAGAAATAATATTTTCCTTATTTTCACATCAATTTTCCAAGTCACAATCAGAAGGAAATTTATTGCCATTTATGGTTTCACAAAGAAGAATTTCTCTTGGCATTTGGTGCAGGCTTAAAAATACAGAAGACAAAATATACATAAAGTTTAATGTACTTATACAATATTATAAGTGTAAGGCACAAAGCACTAGCAATAAAGTAATTGCTAGTCCCTTGGACCCATATACGTTGGTGTACGTGTTTTGACATTTTACTACAAAGGAGACATAAATTTGAAGAAGCATCAATGAAACATCAACAAATTACAAATTACTGTTGTAATTTTACCATGCAAAGATGCTGAACCCTCCAAAACTTTCCCAAATGTTGTGATTAGTGCATAATGGCAAACTGTGATGTTTAACCTGCAGGAGAAGACAGTGGAAGTGAGTGACTGGAGGAAGAACGTGGAAGCCATGTCAGGAATGGAGGGGCGCAAGAAGATGTTTGACGCAGCCAAAGGCCAGATCCAGTAAAACAGTGGCAACAGAAGAAAAAGTCAGCTGTCATCTTCTGAAGCAACATCACTGTCAGTTCACAGAGTGCTGAATGTAGCAAAACAAAACAAAAAAGATGTTTTACACTGAGTATCTTCCCACAATTGTTTTTGTATGTTAATGAAATAAACAAATCCTAACATAGTCTGTCTTGTCTATTCAGAAGAATGTTGCTGACAAACTTAAAACCAAGTCAGCATTGCAGTCAGTGGCATAAGATCCAGCTCAAATGAAATAATCATATCTAGACAAAATAATTGAATGACACTGATCTAATTCGTCCTGAGGAGTCAGACTCAAATTGATCTGACTCCTTTGTGCACACACAGTTGTTTGTCTTATTTCTCTCTTGCCCTGTGATGGATTGGCAACCTACCAGGAGACAGACACCACACTCCTGCAAGCAAAATCAGTATAGACAAAGGATGTCTGGATGGATGTAGGTTAATGAAATGTCTCTACGTGGAATTTTTTTTTCAAAGGCTATGGGATTAAATGTCTCATAGCCAAGAAGGAGAGCAAACTTTTCTAATCAAAAACTCATCATCTTACTTTAACATTACATTTTTTAATTTCTGACTGGGAATATCGACATTATGCAGGTGGCATAAACTGAATCACTAAACAATATCTAGAATTTCCAAATTAACTCAATTTTAAACATTCACAAAAAAATGCAATTCACTCAATAGGATAACAACAAAAAGACAACATTTATACAAATCAGACTTATTTTAATTAGTGTAGATTATGTTTAGCATTATTTGATAATTATAATGGTTTACTTTAGTAGGTTGTCTGTTATTTGTGAGTTACTTTAACTTTAAGTGTAAAATCAAAATTGTAAAGGAACTTAAGATCACGTTTCTCAACATTTTTGATAATTGTAATCAAAAATGATAATAAAAACATTATCTTAAGTTTTCAAGTCTGATGGGGAACGTTTGTATTTTTATTCATTTTTTGTGTAAAAAAATCTGAATCACATTATTGTTAAAACTCAGGAGAGTTTTAACAATAAGAAGCTGCTGATAAGAAAGCAGCTTCTTATCAGCTGGTTTCCTCAGGACCTTTATTGTGCTAGATAATTATGCTAGATAATGCTGAGGACTAACATCTATATAATGTTTTTGTTGAATTTCAATCAAGACACATTTATTTTATACAAACTTTATAATGAAGTATTTTGAGCATGTTTAGCTGGATGTGTGTGCTTCAGGAGAGGATTTCTTACAGATATTGCATCTGACCTGAATTGCGTCTTGCTTGAGCTCGTTTTGCCACATGGGGGCAGCGTCTAGTAAAAAAGCAATTTATGGAGTGATCCACCTTCCTACCAAATGTTTTCATTGCTGAGTATACTTCTGTTTGTTTTGCAAAACCAGACATAATGGTGGCTGAATAACTGGAGGTTTCTGTTAAAAACGTGGATAAGCTACAGATCCCAGCATAGTGAAATAAACTTAGCTTAATGACTTTCTCTTGTTTGTCTTGTGTGACTCAGGGACCAGACAGGTGTGGTTTGTAGATAATAGAATCCGAAGGAGAAAGGGTGTTCCTTTTCTGTCAGAGGAAAATGGCTTGAGAACTCACTATGTCACTGGCCTTCTAATGATTTTAACCGTCATTTCATGAGATAAAATGATCGAAAGGTTTAACTTTTTTTTTTCTAACCTGGTCTCCTCAATCAATCTAAGTAGTGTTTCAGTTTTTATATGTTTATATGTGGCTTTATCTGAATAATGTTTTAAAGAATTTACATATTAGACACAACGGCCAGCCAGCCAAAGACCAAACTTTTCACAAACCAGGCTGCTTGTCTATTTTTTTTTAATTATTATTATTTATAATCCTAGTTTTTCTTTTTTTCCAAAATGTAAAAATCAAACAAGAGAATTGGATTTCTAACTTTCAACTTTCTGTGGCAATGCTTTATATTCCTGGCATGGCTGGATAGCTACTTCAGACAAGAGAAGACAATTAAGTGTTTTAAGGAAAAAACACTTAATGCAAACTTATTTGGCAGTGTCTCAATTTGGAAGACACATTTATACTCCAGCTTCGACTTCCTGGCTGATGTATGGAAATATTACTTCAGTTTTCCCACATGATGCCCTTTCCTCATATTTCCCACGTATGAAGTGTACCAGTCTCTCCCTGATTCAAAACAGCTACATAACACAATGCTTGGACCCATGAAGTTCACAGTCAAGGTGATATTCCAAAGCTTGCAAGCACCCACCATTTTTCCCCAAATACATTGAGGTTATTTTGGCCAAACTCTTCAGTGTTTTCATTTAATAATAATAATAAAAAAGAACATTTCTCTGGAAGTTTGAGTCTTTGCATCTGTGAAAACTGTATCTTGTCATTTTGGAGCAATGACTTCTTCCTCTCTGAGTGGCCTTTCCTTTTTTAAGAGTACAATGCATGTTTCATGGTGGATCCCAGCAGTTTCTTCCCAGCTTCATTCAGCTTCACAGGATTTTTTACTTAAGTGAGTTGATGTGCACATTTCACATCAAAATAAATTCCTCTTTAGGGAAAAGAACGTGTTCAGTTTCTAGATGGTAGGATGGCTGGACATTCCCAGGGTGGACATATTTATGCAACATAAATGCTTATGAATGCAAAGTGTTGTGGTAAAATAGATGACTTACTTCATGCAAAGAAAAATAAAAACAACAACTTATTTTTAGGTACTTATTTTTAAATGAGTTGGAAGGTCAAGTATGTTTATTTATTGCCCTTTGACAATTACGAGCATTAAATTTTCCTTACAATTAGTCCCCTCAACAAAACCCACCCCCAACAAAAAATGCAATGCTGTTTAATTTTTTGAAACAAAGCCTTGTTTATTTTTTATAAGAGTTTGATTTGCCAAAAAAAAAGTCCTCAAACCAGCAACACATTTTGCAGACATATTAAAAATATCTTGGGCAGAAGGTGAAACTCCCAGCCTGACAACGCCACAAACAGAGCTGCAGTTTGGCTTCAGCTCAGATGAGACATCTGAGTCATAATCCCCACTGCGGTGTCCAATGCAGCATTAAAGCAAACAGAGGGACTATCAAAGGGCTTGGCATGGTCATAACTGCTGTTGTTGATAACATGTTATTGCTTGTGGAGGCAAAGATGAGATTAAAGGCAAAGTGCAGAAAATTGAGCTTGTGAAGGGTGTGATAGGTAATTCATTTTAACCCTTACAGTAATAGCACTCACTGACACATTTTTGCAAACTGTCACTTTTGAAAAGGCAACTGAGGTTAAAAGTTTGAAAAGTTAACACCCAAGTCCCTGTATTCACTGTTAATGTTTGGCAACTTTGGAGTCAGAGGAGCGACAGCCATGCTTCTTTACTTGCATGTTCATGTAGGAGCAGGTTTATAAGGATTAAATGCAACATGCCCGAGTCGGGAAGACCTGTAATCGTGAAACCTTTTTCAGAGCAATAATCCTGTGATCTACTACTGAAGCTTCGAAAGGTAAAAATAGACAATGCAGATCCATGGACAACGCATGTTTTCCTATTCTAGTTAAGGCCATGTACCATCTGTTTGTAGGTATGTGCCCATCAGTTGTAGTCATGGGCTGTTTGCTGCCATGTGATCCTCTGCTGGGTTTAAAAGCTTAGGATCCAAAGAGAAGGACACAGTACACATTTCCCTACTTGCTCCTGTCTGAAGCACACACTAGATCTGGGTAAGGTCCTTCAATGTAGGCATGTAGGTTTGGTTTGTGGTTTTGACTCTATTTTGCTGTTTTAAATGCAGTTTAACCTAAACCTTTTGCAGTGCGTAGGTGCTGCATCCTAAAACATGTCGGACACCGAAGAGGCCACATATGAGTGAGTGTTCAGTTTGTTTCTGCAGAGAGAAAAAACAAGCTATGCTTGCTCTGATAGAATCAGTTTAGACAAAATCTTTTTCTTGTCTGTCTTCTTTTCCCAGGGGTAAGCAGAAAGCGTTGTCAGTTCACTGAACTCATGTATGAGATGGATAATTCTTCACATTTTGACACTGAAGTGAGTTTTACAAGATGCAGATTCAGGCAGCTGCATGGCACTCCTTCCAGCTGCTTCTGAAGCAATAAAAAAGGAGCTGGGATTATAGCGAATGAATTTATAATTTAAATACTTTGTTTTAGTTGTAATTGCCGTTAATTACAGTTTTAAAGCTTAGTTGTGCAGAGAGGAACATTTCTTGTTTTAACATTACAGTCCATCCATGTACAACTTATCTTCTGGATGCAGAGTTAGGTGACTGCTGTTTCTGTCACTTTGTCTTGAATTTTGTCTGTCACTTTGTCTCATACAATTACATCACCAATCCTGCTGTTTCTACTGCTCAGTTTTCAGTTTTTTCATCCACTTGGCGCCAACACACAGGCAGCTGCTGTCTAAGGGCTTTTCTACTGGTTGACCTTTGCCCTTACAGTCAGCCTACTTTGTCTGCAGTTAGCTATGATCCCACAAGATCTTCTCTTTCATGTCTAAGGGTGCAAAAGGTCACCATGAAACAGAATGGCCATCACTCTTTTTCTGTCCATATGAGACACTGCCTGTGCGGTCTGACCGCTCTTGAAACTAAACAGCACCCGCCTCTCCTCCTGTGTATAGTACAGTCCCTGTTACAGAGCAATGTAGGTCACTCACTGTTCTGCATAGAGGTCCTTTGGGAAGTAGGAGCTGAAACACAATACCCACTTGCAATTTTTTGGCTTTTAGAGGTCTGCCTAAATGGAGGTTGGCTTACCGTCTTTGCGATGAAAAGAGATTTGGTTTCTGTCACTCGAGGGGCTTACTGTCGGAGGTAAATTTGCTCAGACAGAGGCTAAATGAGGATACCTGAAAAAATCTACACTTAACCTACTTTGGAAGCATTATCTGACAAAGCTGCAGGCAAAAACAAGAACAAAATAACTGTTTTCTGGATTGCTTTGCAAAACTATAAAACTGAAAACTAAACTATAAACCCTTTGATCCTTTTCATATTTTGTCAACTCAGCACAACGTAGCATAACATTGCGTAGTGGAAGCAAAAGAAAGTTATTTCTTTTTTCACAAACA